TGGCGCGTTCTAGTTCAACAGAGTTTAAAGAGCTACAATTGCTGATCGGTTCCTGAAGTCATACTTGCAACTATAGTTATTAGACTTATCCAAGTGGGAGACTGTTGGATATAGTGTCTAAGTTCATAACTATATTTGGTATGTACTTGACCCGACCCGGCATCGTCCATTTGGGTTGCACTTCACCCGAACAATTTATGGATAATATTTGAGAATAGTACAAGTTATGATTTATTAATATATTATAAGTTCTAATATATTAATATAAGATCATATTATTTAATTAGTAGTGATCTATAATTAATCTAGGATTAATTTAGAGATCAAAGATATTACTAATTAAATATGGGCTTCTATATTTATAGTGTGGGCTAAAGCTTATTTGGAATGGGCTAGGCTTGCATGGAAAAGTCCATGGATACTCCATGGAGCTTTAACCCATGGATCTCATGGAAATGAAGAGACATGGGTTTTAGGGATGTAACCCTAATCCTCCACACTATATAAAGGAGGCTTTGGTTCTTGAAATGAAACTAGTTGACACTTGTTGAGGTGAGGGAAAAATCAAGATAGTAGTGACTATTCTCTCAAAGTTCCAAGTTTGTGGTGATTTGTGATTTCCACTTGAGGCATCCACACTATTGGTGCTAGGCTCAAAAACTCCAAGCAATCAACTACAACTTCAAGATAAGTATTTCTTCTAGCTTTATTTGATTCATGTTCCCCATGCCATGCTAGCTAGGATATAAACCTTGGAAAATTAATTATTTGCATGTATCTTAGACAAACATAGATCCAAGGTTTATTAGGGTTGCATGTACACTTAGGAAGTGTTAGAATGCTCAAAACCCAACAGATGTATCCTAGGTTCATTCAGCTTTTCATAAACAAACAATTCCCTGACATGATAAAGGAGGGTGATTTGCTTGACATGAAGTCCTTGGGCCCACAAACTATTGGGCTAATTAAACAAAATCACAAAGGAAAGGTTACTTTTCAAGGACTTTATCCATTAGTCAAATTTAGACGATTTGCTAAGCCGAATAAGGCGTCCGAGTCCCACAGATCCTCTGATAAAATATCTTCAGAACACACTTCATCAGAAAAGGTGATCTCGGAAGGAGATGTGATCACTGTATCAGATCAAAAAGGGGAGGAGACAGCTGCTCCTAATGTGGCTGTAACTGAGGAGCATGACCTGAGATCAGTTCGAATTGAAAGCCACTACAATGAAGGGTCTTCCATGAATGCGACTGAGACTGATCAGTATGAAGACCTTGACCTTACTGGTTTTGATCGAGATGAAATTCCTACCAATTTTGGAAGCAATGATGATTTCCTGTCAAATGTCAACCTCAACACTTTGTTGGATAATATCAATGATGTTGCTCTCCCAGCAACGGAGATAAGGAATACTGAAGACATTCTTGACTCAACACCCATTTTTAAAGAGCAAGTGGTTGGTTCTACAACTTCAATGGTGACAGTGTCAGGGATTCCTTCCTTTGACAGTGCCTCGCCTACATCTGAACCACTTCAGGGTGATTGCTCAACAGACCAGACCTTACAACCTCCATCCAAAAGAAGAAGACGTGATCCTAGGTTTGAGCCTCTGGATTCTAGCTTGACTCACGGCTTGCCGATTACGCCAACGACTACTCCTGCTATTGTACCTACAGAACCTTTACATGAAGGTCCTAGCACCATTTTTGAAGTAGGTGGCTCTTCTATTCCATCAGGATTTTCTACTCCAAGGGCAGATTTGGATGAGGCCTCTGTACGTTTGGCCTTGCTTCTTGCTCAGGAACAAACTGTTGCACCTTCTTCTAAGTCCAAAGGAATTGCTTTTATAGAAGGCCATTCAAGAGAAGATGATTCTACGATTGATGAACTTCAGAGGAGAGTGAATGTGCTGGACCAGAAGAATATCGAGCTCAGCATTCGAGTTGAAGATCTTTTGAGTGAGAATACAAATTTGAAGATTCAAGTTTCTGATCTTCAAGAAGATAGGGCAACAAAGACCAAGCAAATCTCTGAGGTCCAAGCTCATTTCAATCTTCTAACCTCCAATTATTTTGATTTAAAGAAGAAGCTTGAAGAAGATCTTGGTGCAAAGTATAAAACATCTGCAGATGAGTATAGAATCAATCTTCATTCTCAGGCTCATCCTATTACCGTGCCAACTGCTTAAACTTCACGGGTTGTAGACCGTTTTAAAGAAGAACTCGCTCATGTTCCACATGTTGCAGAAATTATTCATGCCAGACAAGCCAAAGCTGCTCAGAAGGGACAAATCTTGTTCAACAGGAGTTCCGACAAAAACGCACCCGGGAATCAATCCACAATCACTGTTACGGATCTCGAGGTCGTACGGTTTAGAGACATGTATGGTGATCAATCAGGAATCATCTCTTGGGGCTTTCATGACACCCTAAATATGTGGATCGTGCAGAGAAAGAGCGGCAACACGGAGCTCTATAAAGATTGTCATGATTTTAATTCTTGGACCAGGGTGGATCTTTCAAAGCTGTCCCAATATCCTTTTTCAAATCCTTCAGATAACCAACAGGTAACTCATTTCAAACACTTTCTTAAAGATCAGGTGAAGAAGGGCTTTCCATCCATGAAGACTGTTGAATCTATGATAAATCATTATCCTGATGTCATTGATCCCAAAACTGGTCATCCACTTCAGGTGGTGATGTGGCCTGCAACAAATCAGGTCAAACAAATCCCCGTACTTCAAAGCTACCCAATTGGATCCCTAAGCTCCATGGTCTATTGGGTATTCGATGAAAATATAGCGTCTGCTGTTATCAAACTAAAAGAGGGATTCATACGTCTGTATGATCGAAGGGATTTGTTCCATTTTAGGAAATGGGACATTCATCATCTAAGCCTTCATCATATTAAAGTTGCTGAGGAGATATTTGAGTCAGCCGTGAAAGAATACACATCCATGGTTGCTGAGATCATAGATAAGCGCATGTGGAATAGGGCAATGGGGCAAGAAGATGTGATGATAGTTGACAAAGATTAACTTCAAGCTAGCACCAAACCAAGGGGGAGATTGAAGGGTCTAATTAGTGGTTTGGTCTAGGCTTTCGTTGTAATAGGTTCTTTTGTGTCAATATGCAATTTTGGTAGTTTGTATAGCAGTTTACGGCCAGACTGTGAGTTTACGGTCGTAAGCTTGTTTACGACCGTAAACCCAAGGCCGGCCCAGGTCCACTATATATAGATGCTAGCTAGGTCTTTTATTGGTTGTTGATGCCACAGAGTTTTCAGCTGCTATTCCACAAGTTGTACCAGACGTTTTCACTAATAGAAGCGTGTGCAAGCTTGTTTAGATTTCTGTTTCTACTTCGTTCTTGTTATTATTGATTGTATTGATTGTTTGATCAATGGTAAGATCCGTTTCAGGACCTTACATTTATTAAGAAATTCCATAACACTAGTGAACCCCTGATCAGTAATCACACACCATTTAAAGATCCGGTATTGAACAGACTTGGTGAATTCACAATGAAGAAAAATGTCCACCAATTCGTGATCATTGTTACACAATGTGCACATATGCTTTGATAATTGTAGCCCTCTTGCAATTAGATTGTCTGCTAGTGGGATTTTCCCCAACATGGTATGCCACACAAAACATCAAACTTTCAGTGGTATTAGTTTTGACCGGCAAATTTTCAACCCTTTAAATAGGATCAGTTCTGAATCTATAATACGCCCCATACGATTCACCGCATAATTACCATTTTTTGTCATCGTAAAACAAAAACCATATGATGAAGAGTCCCCAATGACATTCAGATCACCAATGTCCTTGTATAGTTGTTGCAGTTCGTGAAGCTTCATTCGGGTTGGAGGGAGGCCTTTTCCAATACCAAGAAAAACCATTCGTTGTTAAGTGATTAGTAAGAGTACAACTTTTGACTGATTCGATCTTGTACAAATAGGGAAACTTTTCTTGAAACGGGGACATACCACACCATGCATCTTTCCAAAACAAGATTTGAATGCTTGATACTGGAATAAACTTGAATGCTTGATGAAAATCTATACAAAGATCACCCAAGTTGTTAAGCGCTTTATGAATGTTATACCCCACCCCATTGGAGGTTTTTCTAGCAATTTAATGTGTTGGTTTCTTGATCAAATTGTGTAGACTTGTAATAACTCTCTTCCAGAGACTTTTATTCTCAATTATTAAACGCCACCACCATTTGATTAAAAGTATCAGATTTTATGCTTTAAGAGTCGAGACCCCTAAACCGTAATCAGAAGATAGCAAATAACCAACAATAATTACGGAGAGAGGAGAATTGCCCCAAATTCCACCCTAAGTTGAGTTCAAAATAAAAAACGGTAATATTCGGTTTGTTAATCTTTTAATTGAGTTCAAAATTAATAATGTTGAAATTAAAATGATGATATTTTGAGTTCTGTATTATTATTATTATTATTATTATTATTATTATTATTATTATTATTGTAAAATAATTGCTAGAAATTTTGGATTGTGTGAATAACAGAATATAGTTGCTGAGTTTTGGAATGTGGAAAATCCAGATTCCAACGGTATGCTTTGTTATGCACGACAATTATAATCGGTGTTTTATCTTCTTATACTCATATTGACGTTTGATATGATAATTATAATTACAATTATTTAAATCTACCATTTGTTTTTAAGCAAAGTTTCGAAGGAATAATATCTTTTTTAATTGTAATTTTAATTACAAAATATTACGGATGCCATTTTTCGTGTAACTATGATAGGTATTTAAAACAATCATGGATTTTTTATTCCTATGATACGATAACCAAACACATTATGTTAACTGTTGTACTCTTTTCTTTGTTTTATTTCTATATTTTTATATTAATAAAAATGTGACATATTCTCAAAACCTATTTAAAACAGGTTTGCATTTTGCAACTATAAATACAATACAAATCAATTTAGTGTAGCACACAAGCCCAATCTAGAAATGGCACGAATAGTTCACAAATACAGCCTTTTCATACTCTTATCGTTCTTGATATTGCTCTCTTACTCCACTTTAGCTAACTCGAAAAATATAAATGAGAAGAAACCATGCAAGAGATTTGTGCTGTACTACCACGACATCCTTTTCAATGGCACTAATGCCTCTAATGCCACATCAGCCGCAACTACAAATGACACAAAGCTCGGAAATTTTAAGCTTGGAAAGCTTGTGATCTTCGATGATCCCATGACCAAAGATAATCACCTATTATCTCCCCCGTTGGCTCGAGCACAAGGGTTTTACTTCTATGATATGAAGACTACATATAATGCTTGGTTTTCATACACGTTGATTTTCAATTCTAGTGAGCATAAAGGTACAATTAATATTATGGGTGCAGATATGATGGATGAGGAGACACGGGATCTTTCAGTTGTTGGTGGCACAGGTGATTTCTTTATGACACGTGGGATATGTACTTTTCGGACTGATACTTTTGAAGGTGCTGCTTATTTTCGGGTTCAAATGGATATAAAGTTGTATGAGTGTTATTAGACTAGTTATGCTTCACATTAAAAACATGAAATACTTTTAATACCATAATGTTTCTTTTCCGATCATGTCGGGACCATGTGTTGCTAAATGCTAAGTTATGTACAATATTTTGAAATATCGAAATGAAGTTTTTCGTGTTACCTCGATGCCCAAGAAATGCTTCAATATTGACACTAGTTTCTTAATGCTAAACCTCTTATGAAGATAGACCATTGTTTCATATGTCATTGTCATGCCGTTTCTAGATGATTATGTCAGCCACATATATCAGTGTTGTAACAAATATGGTAACATCCTTAAACTTTGAGTATTTGGGATGTCAAAATAAGTAATTAGAATGCGTTTAAACCTAATAAACTAATTATGAGGATTTGGATATTTTTGAACGTAGACAAATAGGAACATTTATTAAAGTGAATTTCAGTGATTGTTTTATCGAATTATATGTTGGAAAGCGTATATGTACTTTTAACTAAAGATTAGGAGTATAGGATGCATATAATGGAAATCAAGTACATGTATAGAGAGAAGTTAGTGAAACATAGAAGTTTCATAAATTTATAAGTACTCATGTTCATGGTTATGGAAATCATATTTATATACACAATAACTGCGATATAAAAGTTCCAATATGAAGTAGGAATGAAAAAGAAAAATGTAAATCAAACAATCAAGCCGTATGGAGCTAAAATGATAAAATTATGCCCTTTTGAAAATGGCATGCTACTAGTTTTTGATAGTCTCAATTAGGGGAGACAATTGATGACACGACACGACAAAAATACACGATACGAAACGAAATTGAGACGGAATTGAAATTTGAATTCGTGTTCATGTCAAGTGCAAAAAACACGACGTTGTGGCGTGTCGTGTTCATGTTCAAAATTTGACACGAAATTGACACGATTTAACATTTTTTTCTCTTGTTTTTCGTGCTATGTATGAATAAATATTAATTAAATACATTAATTGTTATTTCATGTTATCTTTGTTGTGTCGTGTCGTGTTTGTCGTTTTTTAGTTACGACATTTGAAACCTTAATCCAATAGTAATACCATGATTGTTTGTTGTTAAATCATAGTTGTAACCTTAGTGGATGTAATACCAAGGTCGTGTATTGTTAAATCATTGTGATAACCTTAATGTTCGTAATACCACAAGCGATTATCCTTCAATTGCAATGGTAGCCTTAGTGGTAGCCTTAGTGATCTTAATACCACATGTGGGCATCGTTAAATTATAGTGTTAGTCTTATTGGTCATAATACCTAGGGCGTGTATAGTTAATTCGCAGTAGTAGACTTAGTGATTGTAACATCACATGTGGTTATTGTTAAATGATAATAATAACCTCTAGGGCCATGATACCATTGTTGGTTAATGTTGTATTATAATAGTAGTCATTCAGATTTTAATATCATTGTTCATTAATGATGTATTATTAATTATAGCCATTTAGACTGTTATATCATTGTTTGTTAATGTTGTATTATAATGGTAGCCATTCAATATCGTTGTTCGTTAATGTTGTTTTATAATGATAGCCATTCGATTCGTAATATCGTTGTTTGTTAATGTTGTACTATAATAGTATACATTCCGGTTGTAATACCATTGTAGTGTACTATTAAATGATAATAGTAGCCTTTATGGTTTTAATACTTAGTCGAATAGTGTTGATTTATTATGATGAGCATTTTTGTCGCAAGAACCATCGTTAATAATAGTTTAATCATTTTGAAAGGCATTTTATGACTCATGTTGAGGTTTACGTAATCTCTGTGATTAATTTGCACATGCTATATGTGAATAATGAGTAAGTTACTTACTAAGCTTTCGTAGCTTAACTTTAATTTTGCTATTGTGTCTTTCAGGAACAAGTGAACCCAAAAAATGTATAATGCTAGTAATTATGACATAGAAGAATTGTTAGAATGATGGTAAAGTTCGATTCAGATCTTCATATAGTTTTGTGGTATATGATTAAGTCGATAACTACCTGTATACTAATAAATAATATAAATATACACTAAGTTGTTTTCTAAAATTAAAATGAAAATTTTTGAATTTACTTTGTATTTATTTGACAAATGTTATATGAATGGATTAATCTATGCAAAAGCGAAAATATGGAAGGTTTTGGCATTTTGGGATTTGTTTGGAAATGCTAGGAACTTATCTGTATATGGACATCTTTATTAGTTGGTTATTGATCTCTAGATTCTAATAAAAGTAATTTTTTTTTTTTTTTTTTTTCATGTACCATCTTATTGAGTGTTCTAATTAATGTGATATCATTTGTCAATATATTTATTTTTTATTTTAGTTTTTAAAAATTTAAATTATCCACTCTAATTATATTAAATTAATAATATTAAAATGAAAATTAAAATAAAATAAATACAAATTATAAGCTCACAAATTTATTTAAATCAACGATTATAATTTACATAACTAAAAAAATATCTTTTAATTATTAATTTATTTAAAATTTAATAATTTTGAGTTTTTAAAAGTTTAATTAATTTTGTAATATGTTTATGAAGAGTTATAAACTAGTTAATTAATGAAAAAGTTCTATAAATCTATGTTATTAAGAAAAATTCCGAAACGATAAATAAAACAAAAATATAAAACATCTATTTCCCCTTCACGCGAGAAAATCATTAATTTCTAATTAAAATAAATACAATCACATTCCAAATATGCGTAAAACAACTTCGTTCCCTCCTTATTTATAACCACCGCCGCCGTTTCAATCTGCCAATCGCCGCCGGTAACCCTCTCTTTCTTCGCCGTTCTTTCAGGAAATCCTCTCATTTTCTTCGAAACTTTTTGGTTACTAAAGATGATTTGCGTTTTGTGTATGTGTGTTCGACATTTTGTACGTATTAACCAATAATTGTGTAGAGGAAAATCCATATATCAAATACATACACCTCTAATATAGTTACAGATAGAGAAACGTATATTACAGAAATAGAGTCTCTAGAATTTATAGCATTGAAAGTTTTCTATGTCGTTGAAATCAAAAATTTTATTGTACACATGCATATATACAGGGACAGAGAACCCAATCTCTGATTTAATTTGAATCTAGGAAGAAAATTTGATCAATATCACTTAACTTTTTCAGAAATTTTGGCATTTGGGAATTGGGTCTGTAGAAACCGATTGTAAGTTAATTTCTCTCTTTCTTCTTAAATTTTCCTCAATTTCATCTGCTTCGATGTATGTAAAGCTAATTAATCATGTATCATTGTCTCTTAATTAGTTTGACGAATTGGGTTTGATTTGAAATCGAGAAAATATGGATCAAGGAGGACGTGCGTTTGTGTCGGCGTTGAGTGTCGGAATAGGAATCGGAGTTGGGCTTGGTGTCGGGAGAACGGTCAACCGTTTGACCGCCGGTAATGATTCATCGACAAATGCTCTGACGCCACAAATAATGGAGCGTGAGATGCTTGGTTTGATCATGGATGGAAAAGATAGCAAAGTCACTTTCTATGAATTTCCATATTATCTCAGGTAATCACAATCCTTCTTCGATTCTAGTTTTGTTGAATGATTTTGGTTTGATTCAGTTTTTTAAAAAGTCTTCTAATTGATTCTTGTATGATTTAGGGGAGAATTTTAGTAGACTTTTTAACAAGAAGCATTACATTATTCTTTCATCAAGTAGATAATGAAATTATGTTTTGCTTTTTAAATTAATTTTGCATTTACCTCCTTATTTGGTTTATAATATAACACACCATTGTTTTGTTGACCTTTTCAACAGTGAGCAAACAAGGGTCTTACTTACAAGTGCTGCCTGTTTTTATTTAAAGAACATCGATTTTTCTAAGCACACAAGGAACCTTGCTCCCGCAAGTCGAACTATATTGTTATCTGGGCCTGCTGGTTAGTTTTTTAGGCCCATTTGTTACACAGGAAAAAACAGAACAAATCAGACTGAAACATATGTCAATATGTCATTTTTGTCGCACAAATGTCCTCCACATCATCATCATCAAAAATAGCTTTAAACATGTTTCCCAAATTTACTTGGTTTTTGTGGCTTTGAAGAACTTTATCAACAAATGCTTGCCAAAGCTTTGGCTCATTACTTTGAAGCCAAACTGCTATTGCTGGATGTTACGGATTTCTCACTAAAGGTTAGTTAGTATTAGCATTTCATTTAACAAAAATTTTAATTTATACTTCTAGTAATCTCGTTCATTGTTGTCTTTTAGCTTCAAAGCAAATACGGGCCTTCTTCTAAACCAAACGTAAGCATTATGACAACTTCATAACCACTCATTCATTTATGTGTAATCTTCTTATTTATTTCTGAACCAAATGCATTTTGTAGTCGTTGAAAAGGTCTATATCAGAAACGACTTTGGCACGAATGTCTGGGTTATTTGAAGGATTATCTGTGATTCAACCCAAACCAGAAAGAAAAGGTATTTAAATTTGTTTGTTAAGCATACTATCTCCATGTTCGACAAAATGAAATAATCTTAATCAGTTGTATACCATAAGAGCCACTGGAAGATAGTGTTTGGATATGCTTACAACTGGATAGATTCTTCAGAAATCTTTTAGTATATAAAAAATTAATAGATAAAATTACCAAGAAGGTTATTCTTATATATTGTTGATTATCACCGACGGGATACGCTAACAGTTTATGAGAATATTTGGTACATATTAGTATTTATCAATGAATCTTTACATAATTATCATCCATAATTCCAGTAATTAAATTTTCTCCTATTAGAAATATTAATGTATCCTTTTTTTTTTTTTAAATAAAGGGTCAGTAGTAATATAGCAATTTTTGTTTGGGATAATCATAAAATTGACCAAAATGGGTGGTATCACTGAACATCCACCTTTTGAACATTAAAATAATAATAAAATTTGTAAAATGGATTTGTGAAATTATCTTATTCGTTTAATGTTGGATCGTTGTTCTACAGGGGGTTTACGTAGACAAAGCAGTGTAGCTGATTTAGGATCAAGGTATGAATTATTATTATATTATTGGCTGTTGACTGAAATATTGACCTTCCTTGAATTCGGTGACTGTGTTTTTTTTTTTTTTTTTGGTAATTGCAGAGGGGCTGAACCTCTCCAGAATCCAACAAACCTTCGGAGAAATGCGTCTACTGCAGCTAATATGGATCAGTTTGCTTCAAACAATGCTCCAGTTAATCCAGGTACTAAACAGTTCAAATATAACAAAGGTTTTGTGCTATTGTTGTTTAAAAATTGAATTCAGTTAGTTTTTAAAATGTGTCTTATAAAAACAAAATGGCATTTTGAAAGTAGGAGAAAGAATAGAAAAGGTTGTATTGAGTTTGTCATGCATCGGACTAGACAATGGACATCAGTGATGTCAATAGGTGGGACAAGAACTCTGCTCTCAATATCTCTTATGTGCAAAATACGTAAATATCCTCCTCATCCTCATAATTGTATTATACCCATAGAGCTTTTTCCCGAATAGGTCCTGTCTCGTACTTGAGGTTGTATTTGTTACACTGGACAAAACTTGATGGGAATGGACGAGACTGACAAGTTTTCTAGGGCTATTTTCAATGATCATGATGAGAAGGAATTCACGTCTTTTGCACAAACGACAGATCGAGAGTAATTGTTGTCCCACCTTTTTGGGTAGGGCAAAATATTGTAATTTTGTCCCATTTACACCAGTATCAGTCCCGGTTCAATGCATGTCAAACGTAGTATAAGATCATTGTGTCATGTTCTGTATTGTCTTGTCCTGTATAACACATGGGGCCTAAAAATTCTAGAAACGTATAAATTTCTTTTTCGCTTCTGGTAACTGATGATATTGTCTTCTTCAATTCTCAGCTCCACTTAGGCGCACAAGCAGCTGGTCTTTCGATGAGAAGTTATTTTTGCAAACCCTATACAAGGTATCATGCCTCCTTTCATTTCCTTTGCTACATGCTTTATTTATTTATTTATTTATTTATTTAATGGACTTATTGGGGAGATGACGACTTAATACGGTAAGCTATTCACAAAGACTATACAAAAATTTTCATATGAAAATTCATTTCATTCCTTGAGGCCAACCAAACATAATCATGAAATGTAATGACTCATTTACATTACCTTTTATTCCATTTCCATGGTCATTCCTAACATTTCCCAATTGTAGCATCATTTTCTTAAATACATTTTAAACATCATTTACATCTATACAACACTTTATCCAAACAACACTGAAATGCAATTTCAGGTTCTCACTTTCACATCAAACAACAGTCCAATCGTGTTATACCTTCGAGACGTTGAAAAATTCCTAGGAAAATCTCAAAGAGTATACATCCTCTTCCAAAAAATGTTAAAAAAAATATCAGGACCAATACTAATCATCGGTTCACAAGTCGTTGACCACGATCAAGACTTCAGTGTAGTAGACGAGCGTATCACTGCCGTGTTCCCCTACACCATCGATATCAAACCACCAGAAGAAGAAAACCATCTAGTCAACTGGAGGAACCAATTGCAAGAAGACATGAAGATGATTCAATTTCAAGATAACCGAAATCATATTAGTGAAGTGCTTGCAGCTAATGATCTTGAATGTGATGATCTTAATGCTATTTGTGTTGCGGACACGATTGTTATTAGCAAATATATCGAAGAAATTGTGGTATCGGCGATCTCTCATCATTTAATGAATACTAATAATCCTCATTACCGAAACGGAAAATTAGTTATTTGTGCTGAGAGGTTAGATCAATTTTTATATTGTTTAACTATTTAGACAAATATTATTTTGGCGATTATTTAAAAAAACTATTGTATTTTGGGAAATTTTGTGGTTTAGTTACTAAAGAATATAATGGTTTTGTAATTTTCTCAATGTTATTTTCTAATGTCTATATTGCTGACTTATTGTGTTGAAAATTGAGCAGTTTGTCGAGTGGTTTGAGTCTATTCAACGAAGGTCGATCTGTGAAGACGGGCCCACCACAGGTAAAGGCTCTATTTGTGAAACATTATGATGGTTAAAAATGGTGAATTTGATTTTATTATATATTTGATTATAGAATGCAACCGGCACAACATCAGAAACAAAACCCGCACCCGCAGCTGCAGCTGCAGCTGCTGCTGCCGCAGCAGAAGCGGCGGCTCCTACGACCGCTGATGATGCTGCTGCCGCCACTGCTCCACCACCAGTAAAAGCTCCGGTATGTCCAACATTCTCAAGGACATTTTTGTTATGCAGGATATTACGACAACAATTAATACTTTAAGACTTCTTAATGCAAATATGTCGCTGACACTTTTTGTCTAATCAAAAAGTACAAGGCCTTGTAATATGTTTGGCAAAGTATTAACAAATAGAGTAAATTACATTTTTGCTCCTCTAGAATAGTTGGTTTTTGCAAGTTTGGTCTTAATAAGTTTTCTATTGCAAATTTGGTATTTATTAGAGGTTTTTGTTCCATATTTCAAGTGACCATTTTTGATCCCTGGATATAGTTGGTATTTGCAATTTTGATCCAAAAATATATTCATGTTACTTATAACGTTACCAAAACCTAAAAATATGGACCAAAATTGTAATTTACTCTAATATATTCGTATATTTATAATTTTTAATGTTAAATATGTTAAACTTATCGAGTATATTTCAGGAAGTACCTCCAGACAACGAATTCGAGAAGCGAATAAGACCCGAGGTGATTCCGGCGAATGAAATCGGCGTAACATTCGCCGACATCGGCGCCCTAAGCGAAATCAAGGAATCACTCCAAGAACTGGTAATGCTCCCACTCCGCCGCCCGGACTTATTCATCGGCGGCCTTCTAAAACCTTGCCGGGGAATCCTCCTATTCGGACCTCCGGGAACCGGAAAAACCATGCTAGCGAAGGCCATTGCCAGCGAGGCAGGCGCGAGTTTTATAAATGTGTCGATGTCTACGATTACCTCAAAGTGGTTCGGAGAAGATGAGAAAAATGTGAGAGCTTTGTTTACGCTTGCAGCTAAGGTGTCGCCGACGATTATATTTGTCGATGAGGTGGATAGTATGTTGGGTCAAAGGTCAAAAGGTGGAGAACATGAAGCTATGAGGAAGATTAAGAATGAGTTTATGACTCATTGGGATGGGTTGTTGTCGAAATCGGGTGAGAGGATTCTTGTTCTTGCTGCTACTAATCGGCCTTTTGATCTTGATGAAGCAATTATTAGGCGTTTCGAAAGAAGGTAAACCATTGAACTGTTATTTTTTTTTTTTATTGATTTAGTAGGTGTAGGTGTACTATTATTATATACTTATAAAATAATAGTTCATGAGCTAATGGCTAGTAGCTTAATCAATAACATGGTATATGTAATTATGTATGTCATGTTTCTTGTATTTTTTATTTTTCATTTTCTCGTAAAAAAATGTAGGATGTTTAACCACTATACACAATAGTAAAGTGGCTAAATCAACAAATATATGAAAGTATCTTATGTGTTATGTTTTATGTATATCTCTTATTATAGAACATTTGAAATTGATGTGTTATTTGGTGAAATAGGATCATGGTTGGTCTACCATCTGTGGAACAGAGAGAAACTATCTTTAAAACCCTTTTATCGAAAGAACAGATCGTAGAAGGATTGGACTTCAGAGAGATTGCCAATATGACCGAAGGATTTACCGGAAGTGATCTCAAGGTAATTTTCTTTTATCTCCATCTGTTATTTTTCCATCAACCGTTAAAGATGGTATATACTGTCTCTCTGACTCAAAAAACACCATGTAAGATATAAATCAGGTACATAATAGGAACCTAATCCACATTGGAATGACATATTTTAAGATTCAATTGGTTCCAATTGTTTTTTTTTTTTTTTTTTCTAAAAATACAGAACTTGTGTACAACTGCGGCTTATCGACCAGTTCGAGAGTTGATTCAGCAAGAGAGACAAAAGGATCTTGTAAGCATTATTGCTCATCAAAATATCTTTTTTCTTTTTTTCTTTTTGCTTTGAATGCTAATGGCGTTTTTGTGAATCTGAAGGAGAAAAAAAAGAAAGCTGAGAGTGGTGACACCTCAGAAAGCCCAAAAAGGGTAATTACTATTAGGCCACTCAACATGAAAGACTTCAGGGAAGCAAAAACCCAGGTTCGATACATATACCGATTTTATTTATTTATACATTTATTTATTTATTGTTAGCAAATTTACGATAAATGAATTTTCATTTTCTTTTTGTACAGGTGGCGGCTAGTTTTGCAGCTGAGGGGTCAATAATGACCGAGCTGAAGCAATGGAATGATCAATATGGGGAGGGAGGTTCAAGGAAACAAAGTACGCAGCATTTGACTTATTTCCTGTAAGGTTGTTTCATCACCTCATTCTTTAGTTTAAACAAACTACCTAATTACTTGAACCCTTCTTAAATACAAAAAAAGAAGGTTAACAATTAATTAAACTGTATATATACTGTACACAACACCCTCTTTGAAGGGAACCCGTGTTGTTGTAGAATGTATTATTATTTAATTTTTCTTGTGTTCGTTACACAAAATCACAAAATGTAACACTTGTAAACCGATATATGGTTTTTCCTTGTAACTGTATCATAAATAAATACAGTTTCTTTCCTACTCTTCTTCTCATTTCATGTCTTATTTGTTTAATGGGATTAGTTTCCTTTTTTCGCATTTTTGAGTGGAGCAAAAGTAATGCAATTTTTTTTTTCTTATAAAGAGGTTCTTTTGGATAAAAACATACATAGAATTTCATGTATATTTACAAATCAAACAGAGTAATTTCTTTAATTCAACTTCAAGATCAATTTTACAAAAAGAAGCAACTACATAATACTAACACCATAAAACATATGGTAATTTTGGCGACATAAAATACATATATAAGTAAATATAAACCCAGAAATTGTACTTTTAAAAACAATATAAAAAAAAAAAAAAACACAAACATCTAACAATTTAACAAATCAGTCAAAGTGTAGCTATACCATAAACCCTATTCTTTCTTCTGGTTTTTCAATGATTTTGGGATCTTACTTATCACTTTTTCATCAAATACTGTGTATTGTTTCTTGATCTCAATCCATGCTTTCTCACCAAATGGATCTATTTTATCTTCATATTTCTCGTATATCACAGGCACAGTGAACCCCAAAACAAATACTGTAATTACAATTTTAAAGTTTAATAGCAAATTAAAATAAAAAAGAAATCAAATTATGAATAGTTGTAGTAAGAAGCTTACATGTGTAGACCAGAGTTAAGAAGTTGCAACAGCTGCCTATGCTTGATACTATCCATAAGCCAGCAATAACCTGATCAACAATAACATGAAAATCATCATTTCTCTGACTTTCTGTATTAAGTCGTTCTTTCTGTATTAATTTAAAAGGAAACATTTGTGTATACCAATAAAAACTTCTTGAGATTTTTTCCTGATGAAATATCTTGTATTGTTGCAAAACCTTGATTTATCTCAATCCTCAACATAGCTACAATTTGCATAAGGGGTTCTTCTGGGATGTAAATTTTTGGAATCTGTGGATGAGATCTGAAAATAGACATGGATATTAATGAATATCAAAAGGGTGGAATCATAATTGTGAATTCAATAATTTGATATGAGATGAGTAGATAGTAGATGACTTACTTTTTAATGAAGGTTGAGGCATTAGACCACAAAAACAATACTGAGAGGGAAAGGATCAATGCGTGACACATCAAAGGCAGAAAATTGTACTCCAATACTTCAAAAAGTAACCAAATAGCAGTTGCAACACCTAGAACTCCACCAGATAACTTCTTGTCCCTCCATAAGAACACATCAGCAGCTTCATATGCAAGAAACAAGATGAAGTCAGAATTTATGAATTTTAGTAACTACTCTACTATAAAAGATATAAACCTTCATGAAGCAAAAGGTAATATATCTTAACAAGAAACAGAAATGATCCTTGATTTTAATAGCAAAAAAACTAGACTCTAAAAAGTTAATCTTAGGACAAGAAGGAAGTGAATTTGTATCCAGCTGCATCTAGATCTAGAGATGCATAAGACATAATGAACTTTACTAAAAATGGTTTTGATTTCATCTGTTCATCATCTAATGGAGGAAGTTAAAAGATAGTTGGAACATCAAAACAAAAAATGTCAAAAGTTCAATTCGAATTCTTAATTGTATCCTACAAGTTTTATACATGAAGTAAAGGTCCATAACAAATCAAAAGGTTCTCACGCCTTAAACGACATGATTAGATTATGAACACATAAATCTGAAAGTACAACTTGAATAACTTTACGAAAGTAACTAAAAGTTAGGGTTTAACGAAACTGATTTAAGCATTTACTCGTCATACTAATCAAAAACTCAAAAAAGAATATTCGAAATCAATAATATTAATAGACAGATAAACGAAAGCGAAGTGAAATCACGAGAATAACATACGTTTTCCACCGCCGAAGACCTTATGAACAGGCTTTTCTCTTCCGAAGAGACGGAACACGTTCGATTTGATAGATGCCAGCTTACTATCATCCTCGGAGTCTGAAGAAGAAGAAGATGATGATGATGAACTCTTGTGATCGTGTATCTTCTCAATCAGAGATTCATCCTTCGAATCCTCGTAATCTGACATGATTTCCTTACTCGATTGAAAACCCAAACCTAATTCTCAACGCCTGAGTTCTTGTTCTTGAAATCGATCTGCAAATCGCACTACAAGATACTGTAAACAGCTCCTCTGTGTTTGCAGCTAAGTAGAGAGTAGAAAACCGAAAAGTATTTGTCCGGACCTGAGTCCGAGCCTGAGGTTCGGAAATCCTCCCAAACCCATTGCTTCTCCGTGTTGATTTGAGATTTTGGGATAATTGCATATTAATCTTTTTTTTTTTTTTTTTTTTTCTAAATATAGCCGCTGTTTTATCATTTTAGATAAAATTTACACTACTAAATATTAAAATTTTTAAATTAAATAACTTAATTTAAATGATAAAAATGGTTATTTAGTATATTAAGTGGGTAAAAAATGTTATATTGACTGGTAAAATAATAAGAAAGCTAAATAACTTAATTTAAATGATAAAAATGGTTATTTAGTATATTAAATGTGTAAAAAATGTGATATTGACCGGTAAAATAATAAAAAAGTTATTAAGCTTTAATATATCATTAAACTCATCATTATTGTACTGAAATTATTTTATATTTTACTTATCTACATTTTATGTAATGGTATTAAAATGATAAATTTGATAACATATTAAATAGAGATGTATGTATTCTTGCCTACAAAAACATTCAAATTGTGTCTTGGGACACGTTTCTTCCATGATCCTCGTTATCTTCATGACTATTGGTTTATAAAATCAAATTTTCTTTTAGGTTATAAATATGAAAAGGGAAAAGTGCCAAAGACATTTTATCCTATTCCTTTTAAGAGTATTCAATTAAGTTCCTTCCTACACTTACATTAACATGACTTTGAAAGAAGGGTCGTCTCCAAAAGGGTTATTGTTTTTAGAAAAACCAACCAACATCTGAACTCCAAATAATAAAAAAAAACTGTGAAAATAGAATGCTATAAAAAATCAATATAAGTAAGTTGATATAATATAAAGGAATGAAACTCGAATTCAATAAAAAACATACTAATAAAACTATGATGCTATTATAGAAAAAACCTAAAAAAACGTTGGTTTTTAGGCTTACGCAGATAAAGCCTGTAGCTATAATGCGTTTACTTTCCAGTTCCTATTGCGTTTTTTACCATGGCCGAGCGTTTATGGGACCGGCATGAATGCTTGTGTGTGCGATTCTATTTTATAATTAAAATTGTACATGTAAATCTTGTTTAATCTAACAAACAGAAATTCAACTTATATTACTATCTCATGATTTTATATTTCCAAGATATTAATGTATATTTACAAATATCAAAAGAACAACAAAAATAATAACAAGTAATCGGACAATCGTCGTATAAACTATGCCACATTATATACTCGAAAACCTCTAATCCATACAATTACCTATTAATAGCTAAGCAAACCATCAACAAAAGATGTAACATGACAACTCAAGAGATGAAAACTATTATAGTAAAAGTTAGGCAACTCTTTTGAAACTAGAGACGCCAATGGAACCAAACAGGATCGCAAGTAACCTCCACCCCTGCCCTTGAATTTTATTGTTTACCCCGCCCAAGCCCCTAACTTCCAAGATAACCCTTGCTCCCGCCTTGTTATATATATATATATATATATATATATATATATATATATATATATATATATATATATATATATATATATATATATATATATCCGATAAGAAATTATTTTTGGTAGAAAGGTAAAAAGTTTTTTTCCACATACTTTTTTGGCGAACAAAACAATTGAATCATTAGATGAATTAAATTGATGAAATGCAGTTTTCTTTAAGATCAACACGACGTGTTTATGGAGCAACATGGCGTGTTGTCGGTTGGTTGAGAAAACCCTAGTTTTAAGGATTTTGCACCCTATATAATCTTCTTATGTCCCAATAGGTGGTATTTATCAGACTCATGTAACACCTCAAATTTAAAGACAAAAAATTTCATTTTTAATTCTCAAAATTATACTCATAAATTCAAGTTATCACAAATATTATAAGTTATTATCAAAACAATATCAAAGTATCCCAAAATCCTGAAATCTTCATAAACCGACGGACGTGTGCAATTATGCCTCCGCTTCCCCGCGATCCTGAGATGTACCTGAAACACATGTTACACAAACATAGTTAGTACGAAGCTTAGTGAGTTCCCCAAAATATCACATACACAAATAATAAGCCTCTCATGGCTATGTCTCGATATGGACCCTCCGGTCATGTGTCTCAGTGAAGACACTCCAGTCTCACGGCTCGGTATGGACCCTCCGGTCATGTGTCTCAGTGAAGACTCTCCGTCTCATAGCTCGGTATGGACCCTCCGGTCATAACTCAACATATATACAGGATAATATAACAGCATAAGTCACAAAGACAAAATGCATAATAACACATAAAGTAGATAAGACCCTCTGGTCAGTAATTCAAACAAGACCCTCCGGTCAATAATATAAATAAAACCCTCCGATCAACACATAAATAAGACCCTCCGGTTAATAACATAATAAGACCCTCCGGTCACTCATGCATTACCACACAGGTAAGTACAGTGAGAAGACTCACCTCAACGCTTCACGCTTACTCCTACATTGTCATCGCTGCTGCTAACCACTCCCGATCTGAACCATACACCCAACGTCATAATCAATAATTGAACAAGGCTATATTCCATCCTTAGGCCTAAAGATAGCTGAGATAAGCAAGCTCACTAACAACCCAAACCCATTGGGCCCACCAAGGCCTAAAACGAAAGGATTCACAAAGGCCCACTAATGGCCCAATTTTCCAAATTGGTCCCAACCCTATATGGACCTAGACCTAAAGCCCAATAATCCTTAGGACCCAAAAAGTTGATCTCAGATGGCCCAAAAAGGCCCAACGTAACAAAGTGGCCCAAGAACGCGAAGCCCAAAACACAACAAGCCCAAGCCCAACTGAACAGCATACGCGCGGCATACGTTCAGCTACGATGGGCGTACACAGAGAACCAGATCGTGACACATACATAGTATGATGGGCGTACAAACTCTTATGCAAGGCGTAACTCAGCTTAACCAAAAATTGATTTCCTGACTTAACCACTTAAGCTCTTTGCACCCAAACTTCAAGGAACCTTCGAAATTCACTCTTAACTGATAAAGTTGGCAACTTTATTAGTTTTCATGTCTTAAAGAGGCCCAACAATGCAATTAAATCCTTTAGACCCATAAAACCCACCTTAACACATGCATGGTTCATTCATAAGCATCAAGCAAGCACCTTTATGGAATAATGACCTCAGAGATACTATGAGAAGCAACTTAGAGCCCCGAGTGGTGGCAAACCATTAGATCTCACCCATGAGATCAAAATGGGACCAAAACTCATATAATACTATATCTAAGTTACAAATAAACAAAGTTTGGAGCTTTATACCTCTAATAAGCTGGAAATGTAGAAGAGAGTCAAGATTTACAAGCCTTCCCTTGGATTCACCAGCTTGTATCAAGTCCCAAATCTTGAATGAACACAAAAATCCATAAAAAATGAGCACAAGGAGCACAAAATACTCTTGGATGAGGCTAAGGTTCGAAATTAGGATTTTAGAGCCATGGAGGCTGATACATAAGGGAGTCTTGAGGTTATAATGATCTTTATATAGTGCCCAGACCCTAAAAAAAACAAGGTTTGGCATCATGATCATTACGTGGGGCGTACCTTTAGGTACTTTGGGTGTACTGAGTACAGCCATGCGTCCCTTTGCTCAACACATGGGACTAATCTGCCAACTTATTCCACTAAGGACCAAACTTGCCAAAACTTCAAATTATCATGACTCCTTTGTTATAATTCCGTTTCCAACGAACCTTATATAAACGGAAACGTGGCAAGAAGCCCTATGCTTCTAGCAACATATCACAGCCTTAAAACTCCTCGAACAATTCTCGAAATCATAAAAGGTCGAGCTAACTCCTTTACCAATACTATTGGGCTCTAAAGCACAACCCGAACTCTTTTATTACACAAGCTACCTTATCCATATCCAAATTTGGCCTAGACTTTCTCTTTTAAAGCCTCAAAACCTACTCCAACCCATATTACGACCCACAGGCCTTAAATCATAAAACGATCCAAAACAGGATGTTACACCTCTAACTCCCCATATCGACTCTTGAGAACCCTAATCATATTTTCTCTTATTTGTGAGTTAGTGTGGTGTTTCTGGAGCCAACGAAGGAAGGAGTTGGAAGAATGAATTAAGGATCCAACAAGCAAGTCCTCATCCTTCAGTTTGGCACTCTTTTGGACTTTTGTAAGTGTCCAATATCCGATTTTTATTCCTCTATGTTGCTAGATCTTGAGTTTTGGCACTTTTTCTTGTTGTTCTTGAGTGAGGGAATGATTGGATCTCATAAAGTTAACAACTTTATGAATTTCCAGGTCTAAGTGACCTTGTAGAGTCTTGGATCTGGCCTACAGTCGATTTTTGATGCCACGCATGGAGAGTAGTTCATACATCCCCATTTGTGACCTATTTTGGGTTTAAGACATGCATTGGACATGCATGTCTATAAAGCACCAACCTTTGGGATGGTTTTGGTGCCAGAACCTCTTCTGGAAAGGATGGGTCTTAAACTTCAAGGATCTAGTGCTTATTAGGTTAAGCCCTTGAATCTTCAAGCCTTGTGGTTGGGTTTTTAGACCCTTGGAGTGGTTCCAAAGGATAAAGTTTTCAACTTTATCCTTCTTGATAACACTTAGGTCTAGATCTGAGCCTTAGAGTCCCTGGAATTGATAAAAGCAGCTGAATGTATTAAGCTGCTGAAACTCGGGTAAACACGGCGTGTTTGCAAAGCAAACTTGTCGTGTTAGGTTGAGTTTTCCTGATCGTCTGGATTCTATCCAAACACATCATGTTTGCTAGTAAACACGGCGTGTTGGGTCAACATGGATATTGACCTTGACCGTTTACTTTGACTTTGAACAAGTTTGACCTTGAGGGTATTTTAGGTATTTCTATGATTTTGATGGAATTGGTCATTTGGTGGTTGTAGGCATTTGAGTTGAGAGCAGTGATTCAGAGTTAGACCTTATCAATTATGTGTTGTTTATGAAGTGAGTTTCCTCACTATACTTTCGGGTCGAAGGCACCACGACCGACCCATTGGTTTGATAACTTGGTATTGTTGATATGTTGAGTATAGGATAGATATGCATGCTAGTTTTGATAT